TCTCCAATCATCTAATTATGCCCAATAATAGGCTTAAAAGAAATTTTTTTAAAGTATCCAGCTGGCTCAATCCTTAAATAAGGAAAAGATTTTTTGAGTAGGAGCTGTCTATCCTGAAAAATGTCTGACCATGAGAAGAAAAGGGAGTGGAAGAAGAAAGGAGGCCAGGGCATGTAAAAAATCCGTTGTTTTTTTTTTTTTTTAAAACAGCGTCTTGCTCTCTCACCCAGGCTGGAGTACAGTGGTGTGTGATCTTGGCTCACTGCAACCTCTGCCTCCTGGGTTCAAGTGATTCTTCTGTCTCAGCCTCCCGAGTTGCTGGGATTACAGGCACGCGCTGCCACGCCCAGCTAATTTTTTGTATTTTTAGCAGAGACAGGGTTTTGCCATGTTGGTCAGGCTGGTCTCTAACCCCTGACCTCAGGTTATCAAACCACCTCGGCCTCCCAAAGTGCTGGGATTACAGGCGTAAGCCACCGCGCCCGGCCAAAAAAAAAAAAAAAAATCAAAATCAGCTTTTTAAAACTAATGTACAAGGCTAGATGTGGTAGCTCACACTTGTAATCCCAGCAATTTGGGAGGCCAAGGTGGGAAGATTGCTTTAGCCCAGGAGTTCAAGACCAGCTGGGGCAACATACTGAGACCCTGTCTTTAAAAATTAAATTAAATTTAATTGATTTAAAATTAATTTAAAATTAAATTTAATTTTTAAAGACAGGGTCTTTAAAGGCCCTGTCTTTAAAAAAGACTCTTGTCTTTAAAAAAAAATAGCCAGGCATAGTGACGCATGCCTGTGGTCCCAACTACTTGGGAGGCTGAGGTGGGAGAATTGCTTGAGCCCAGGAGGTTGAGGCTGATCACGCCACTTCACTCCAGCCTGGATGACAGAGTGAGACCCTGTCTTAAAAACAAAAAGTAGGCTGGGCGTGGTGGCTCACACCTGTAATTGCAGTACTTTGGGAGGCCGAGGTGGGCAGATCACGAGGTCAGAAGTTCGAGACCAACCTGGTCTACACAGTGAAACCCTGTCTGTAATAAAAATACAAAAATTAGCTGGGCATGGTGGCGGGTGCCTGTAATCCCAGCTACTTGGGATGCTGAGACAGGAGAATCGCTTGAACCTGGGAGGCGGAGGTTGCAGTGAGCGAGATAGCGCCACTGCACTCCAGCCTGAGCAACGGAGCTAGACTCCGTCTCAAACAACAACAACATCAAACCAAAAAGTAACAAACACACTAATGAACTGATAATTCCTATTGTAAATCTCCTTTAAAAGGAAGCATTTTGATGCCAGAATGGAAATTTTAAACCCCCAGGCTGTAGAGAAATATTCACTGCCATGACACATGTTTATAGGCTTTCCATCTGGCAAGATGGGATCTATTTTTACACACAATTATGATTTTTCTTTGAGTGTGTTTCTTCGTCTTTTGTGGTTTTCAATGTCTTTTTTTTTTTTTTTGTATTTTCAAAATGAAAATATCTTAGTTTTTTTGCACTATAAAAGTAAAAGATGCTAACTACAAAAAACAAGGATTATTCAATGAATAATCTTTCCCATGCTTGCAGGCATATATACATATTTTTTAAAAAATAAAGATAGGGTTGAATTATTCCTGGTGATGTTTTCTAACCTGCTTGTTGAGCAAACTCATCACTGGGAATTACTCGCTTTTGCACATCATCTTTCGCCAATGGCAGATGTGGCCTTGATCCATTCAGCAATAATTTGCCAAGCAGTTGTATGGTCAGTGTTATTATATAAACAATGTATCACAATCACAATATTTGGAATTGAGAGTGTCTTGAAGAGTCCAGGGCATGTGGTGATCTTGTGGACTCCTATGCTCAATATTGTAATGGTTGCTATTCTTTCTGCTGTGTAGGGGTGTGTGTGTGTGTGTGTCTGTCTGTAAGATGTGCTGCAAGCCCCCTGGTACTCTTAGGGCACCTGGAGCCCTGCTACTTCCTCCCAAAGTGTCTGATCCCTCCTGCTGATCCTTGGCTGTTCCACTCTGAGTGACTGCGCACTTCTCAGCATTTCTGGGCTCCCACTGTTGCTGATTCCCCCATTGGTCACTTAGGAAGTTTTGTGACCTCCATCTACTGCTGAATCTTTGCATGGTTATCTGTGGTCCTTTACTGTTTCCAGAATATTTATGATTGTTTTTCTCCAACCCTACATACCAAGTCATGATCCCAGCATCTGCTTTACCACATCTATTCTTAGGGTATCCATGACAAGGCTTCTACCAGGGTTTTGATTTTAGAGCATTTAATGTGTCATGCTCTTAGGGAACATTTTCAAACTCTGGCCTCTGTGTCAACTTTTTCCCCCTTGGAAGTACAGAGGGTTGGCTCATTTGCTGTTCCATTTTCTGCCAGGACCTTTGACCAATACTTGGTTTTTCTTTCCTGAAATTTTCTAGAAGGGAATGGAATATCTTTGTATAGCTTTCCCCTCTTCTGGTGGCAGATTGAGCATATGGCCCTTTGAAGTTTCATAAGGAGCTAACATGAATGAATGTCAACCATGTGCCAGGCCTTAGCTAGGGCTCTTTATCTTATTTAACCCTTAGCGCTATTCTGAGTGGAAGATGGCATTATCTCTATTCTGCATTTGAGGAACCTGAGGCTTCGAAAGTTGCTTTGCCTAAGATCATAGTACTACTAAGTAGTCAGGGTTCAAACCCAAGTCTTCCTGGCTCCCAAATACTTGGATTCTTTTTAAAATTGCAAATAATGGAATAGTCTCACTTCCCCACCCCAAAAGAAGGCTTTCAACCCTGCAGTGCTGCCCTTGTAGGGCTCTGGCCCTCTTGTTCTCTACGTAGAGTGTTTCTTCAGTGCTGGTTACCTTTCTGGTGCCTGAGACATGCTGCTTCTCTGGAGCATCTGTGACCCCAGGATGATCATGCTTCCCTCCAAGTGGCCCCCCACTCTCTACTGCTTCCCCCAGTGTGCATGAGCCCTGTGGTTCTGGCTGAGCTTTCATGCACCCGCTTCCAGCACATTGGCCTGTCTTGCTTCTCTAGCCTCTCTGACTTGATCTTCTCAGTTGCCTTTGGTAGCTCTCCCCTTAAATGGGAGTGTTCCCCAGGGCTCTCTTCTGGCTTTACCTTTTTCCCTGGCTATGACTTTCATGTCATGACTTAAGCATGAAGTGTGATGACTCCCAAGTTGCTGTCTCTGGCCCTGTTGCCCAGGCCCTTCCCTTAATTGCTTTCCAGGATCTCTGACCAATATCCTGAAGGCACTTCAGCCTTAGGATGTGCAACGAGTGGACTCATTTCCTCTCCAGCTGCGTCTTTTAATGGGCCTTGTTCTATCATTTGCTGTCTTGGTTAATAATGTTACCACCAACTATCATCAGTCTTATAAGCTAGAAACCTTGAGAAACATTGGTTTACTCCGTTCTGTCTCATCTCATATTCAGTTGATCAATTTCAAATCCTGTTAATGGATTCTACCTCAGAAATACCTTCCAAATCCAGCCCCTTTATTTCCTCTGCCTCTGCCTTACTTTGGGCCTTTCACTCTTGCCTGGACTGTATGAATAGCCTTTTAAGTAGCATTATCTTTTTTAAAAACAAAACTGTTTATATCACTTTCCTCCTAAAAAAGTCTCTGCAGTTTTACGCTTACCTGCAGGGTAAAGTGCATATCTGCTGGCATGGCAGAGCAGACTAACCACAGAGTGCCCATCCCCACACCTCCAGCTTCCTCTCTGCTCACTGGCCCTGCCCAGCAGCCCCTCTGCCCCCACATGGCTGAGCATGGCTCCCCTCTTCACTGCTTGCTTGTCTTCCTCCCTGAAGTCCTCCTTCCATCTGGCAAATTTCTTATTCCCATACCCAGCTCACATGTTGCCTCTGAGATGCTGTTCCCTCAGGTAGATATAGCTGGGTGCCCCATATGTGTTAGTCTGTGCCTCCCGGAATCTGATTACATACTTGTCTTCCTGACTCACATGGGGGTTCTTGGGGCCAGGGATTTACTTAGCACCCGGCACAGTTCCTTGTACGTAGTAGCTGGTGAAGGCATACCACCTTGTTTTCTCCAGAGTGCCTCTGATACTCAGCACACCCCCAGGGTGTTCATGACTTGGTACTACTCTCTGATTCATTTTCCTCCTACTCGTGTCAGACCCATTGGTGGTGGTACTCAGAGTGGCTACAGTTCTCTCCCATTCAGCCCACAGAGCTGAACCCCCCTTCCTTCCCAGAGTGTCTGTGATTTGTCTCTTACTCAATCCCCACTATCCCTGGAGCAAGCACCTTTGCCCCTCCACTATACTAGGAGGGAGGACCTGATTCCTTGTTGCCTCTCCTGGCTGCCTGTGAAATCTCCACTCATCTCCTAGGCCAGTATCTCTCAAAGTGAGGTCCTGAATTACCTGCATCCGATTATTCTGATTGCTTCTTCGAAATGCAGGTTCTTGAGCCAACCCCAGCTCTACTGAATGAGAATTGCTGGCCCAGGTATCTGCATTTAAATCACTTCCCCAAGTGAGTCTAGTATTCTCTAAAATTGTGACTTGTTCTAAAGCAGTGTATGCCCACTAATGATCAGAAAGAACATTCATTCCCTGAGACATTTACCAGAGTGGGACAACTTAAATAAGATGGGGACCTGTTACAAAAGATGTCCCTTTTGGAGAGTCACAGTACAGTCAGCACATTACAGGGTTACTGAAACAGCAACAAAAAAGCCCCAGAGAAACAAGCTTGATTTTTATGAGGGACACCTTTATTCTCATACACATGGACATTTCCGCACAGTATTTTCTTAATGCTGGTTTCCCTGACTGCCCTGGAGGAGTTTATGTCTAGATTTCCTTAATTGTGATAATGCCTTTGATGTGCTCAGCAGTGTCTAGCACTCATGGGTGCTTAGTCCCTGAGAGTCGCTGCCCTGCTTTATGCCCTACTCTGCCTGTGACCTCTGTTGCTTCCCTCAGTGGGTCACTGATATCCCATCTCCTCCCTGTCGCCCTGCAGGGGGGGTCCTCTATGCTGCCACTGTGAAAAACTACCTGGGGACGGAGCCGATTATCACCCGAGCAGTGGGTCGTGCCGAGGACTGGATTCGGACAGACACCTTACCGTCCTGGCTGAATGGTGGGGAGAGGGAGAGGGGTCCTCTGCGGGGACTGATGGGGTGGAGTCTGGGAAGTCCCAGGTTGTGACTGTGAGGATCTGAGGCCACTGGTATTCCCAGCCCCAGCCTTTGTCGCAGCCGTGGCCTTGAGCCCAGCCGAATGGGGGGATGAAGATGGAGACGACGAAATCTACTTCTTCTTTACGGAGACTTCCCGAGCATTTGACTCATACGAGCGCATTAAAGTCCCACGGGTGGCCCGTGTGTGTGCGGTGAGACCCCATCCCAGCTGTCTGTCTGTCGTCTCCTGCTCTGTCCCCCTGTCTTATCTTTTCCTCTTTGGGTCTCTGTCTTTAAATCTCTCCCGTGTCTCCTATTTTCTCTGCCTTGACTTCTCTTCTGGGAGCTTGAGGAATGTGAGAGAGAGGCTTTGGCCTCTTTGACACCCACAGTTACCCTTGTGACACACTGTCTACAGGAGGTGGACTAGTGTAGAGGTTAAAGGGAGGAACTGGACCAGGGTTCAAGTCCCTGCTCCACCCACCACTTAACTGCCTTTGCAACTCTGTCCAGGTTCTTTAGTGTCTTTGAAACTTGTCTATAAAAAGAGGATAATAATGATGCCTGTCTGTGAGGACTGTTTGAGTATTAAATGAGGTAACTTACGTAAAACACATAATGTAGTACTTTATAAGTGCACAGTTAACTTAGTCACTGTCATTGTTATTGTGACCCCTTCACCCCCGTATCGCATTATCCCTGCAGCTACTCTGTGTGGCTCCCTGTCCTTGCATTTGTATGCATCTGTCTCCCCATCTGTCTATGTCTGCCCTGAAGTCAGAAGGAAACTTAAATTGGTCTCCATGCTCCTTGCCCAATGATGGTCATCTAAAGAGAATCTTCCATGTGTTCGTCACCGCAGGGGGACCTTGGGGGCCGGAAGACTCTCCAGCAGAGATGGACGACATTTTTGAAAGCTGACCTGCTCTGTCCAGGGCCTGAGCATGGCCGGGCCTCCAGTGTCCTGCAGGATGTTGCTGTGCTTCGACCTGAGCTTGGGGCAGGGACTCCCATCTTTTATGGCATCTTTTCTTCCCAGTGGTGAGGGGTCTTGGTGTGGAGGAGAGTTACAGGGTGGGAGATAAGTGGGGATGGCACAATGTCAGTGTTGTCTCTTCCAGAGGGGGCAGGCTGTCCTGCCTTTGGCTGCATGGCTCGCTGTGTGTTTCTCGGGGGTCATCTCATTTGACAAGGGATGAGTTGCTGTCCCCTAGACCCCTCCAGATATCCAGCTCCAACCTGTGAATTCCAGGGAGGGGGCTGCCATTTCTGCTGTCTGTGCCTTCCGACCACAAGACATTCGGACAGTGCTGAACGGTCCCTTCAGAGAACTAAAACATGACTGTAACAGAGGACTTCCTGTCATGGACAATGATGTGCCCCAGCCAAGACCTGGAGAGGTGAGGGGGCAGATCTTCATTCTAGGCCTGAAGTAGAGAGCTGCTATTAAGGCAAGAGCCCCACCAAGCATCACTGGCGTGTCCTGTTCATGGGAAACTTTGTCACCACCCCTGTATTTCCTCTAGTGCATCACCAACAACATGAAGCTCCGGCACTTTGGCTCATCTCTCTCCCTGCCTGACCGTGTACTGACCTTCATCCGGGACCACCCACTCATGGACAGGCCAGTGTTTCCAGCTGATGGCCACCCCCTGCTGGTCACTACAGATACAGCCTATCTCAGAGTCGTGGCCCACAGGGTGACCAGCCTCTCAGGGAAAGAGTATGATGTGCTCTACCTGGGGACAGGTATATTTAGTGGTCAAGCAGGTTGCCTACCTAGTGCATACACATTCTCGTCACAGAGAGAGTACTGTAATACATATGTCTGAGTCCCAGGCACAGGGGCAGTTATGTCATTATTATTGTTCCTTTCCTGTCCCCTAGAAGATGGACACCTCCATCGAGCAGTGCGGATCGGAGCTCAGCTCAGCGTTCTTGAAGATCTGGCCTTATTCCCAGAGCCACAGCCAGTTGAGAACATGAAATTGTACCACGTGAGTTGTAGATTTTGGAGAATCTATTGGGGAGACATCTGAGTCCAGAGCCAGTTTGTGACCCTGAGGTCTGGGAGATCCAGTGTATTCCCCTTCCCCGCTCCCTTTTTGTAGAGCTGGCTCCTGGTTGGCTCCCGTACTGAGGTGACACAAGTGAATACAACCAACTGTGGCCGTCTCCAGAGCTGCTCAGAATGCATCCTGGCCCAGGACCCAGTCTGTGCCTGGAGCTTCCGGCTGGATGAGTGTGTGGCCCACGCTGGGCAGCACCGAGGGTGAGTGTAGCTGCCCGGATTTCTTGCTTACTGTGCCAGGGCTCTGTCCCATCCATATGTCTATGTTTCTCATCTGTTAATGCTGCCCTGCCAGAGGCTGTTTTCTTTTTCTGTCTGTTAGTGTCTACATCACTCATGTGTCCTTCTGTCAGTCCATACTAACTCATCTGTTTGTCCATCTAGTGCCACCTCATCAATGTCCTTGCCTCTTGCCTCTCTGCTGGACCTGCCTTAACCTGACAGTGTGCTATCTCTAGTGGACGCTTCTTAGTTTTCATCTTACAAGAGCTCTTGGAAGTGTTTTCACAGTTGTCCACTCCCTCTTTCCTTGAAATACTTTACTCTTGGTCTCTATGACTCTGCATTCTTTGGTCTCCTTCACTTTCCCATCCAACTACTGAATGTTGATATTCCTCAGGGTTCAGTCCTGCACCCATTCTCTTTACACTTTCATGCTATCTCTAGGCAGTTTTATTCTCATTACTTTCAATACCATCTGACTGCTAATGACAACCACAAATATATCTAGTTGAACTGTGGAACTCCCCATCCAACTGTCTACTTGATATTCTCTTTGGATGCTTCATAAGCAACTCAAATTTAGCAAATCAAAGTGTGCGGTATTGTTTCCTCTTTCTCTCACATGCTCCTCCTCTGGTTTTCCTCATTCCAGTAAAGGGACCTCCATGCATCCAGTTGCTCAAGCCAGAAATTGCCCACATTGTATTATGATTTGTACTGATTCTAGCCCCTAAACGTCCTTAGTCCACCCTCTTCTCTCCACCTCTACTGCTACCACTCTAGTCCAAGCCATCATCGCTTCTTAACTGGACTACTCTAATAATCTAATTGGTCTTCTTTTGACCATTTTGGGCTGCTACCATCCATTTTCCATTTAGCAGCTTAAAAGCATATGTCACATTGAAGCAAATCCCTGACATCATATCATATTCATCTTAAATATTTCAATATGTATCTACTAGATAAGGACTTTTTTTTTTTTTTTTTTTTTTAGACGGAGTCTCGCTCTGTCGCCCAGGCTGGAGTGCAGTGATGCCATCTTGGCTCACCACAACCTCCGCCTCCCTTATTCAAGCGATTCTCCTGCTTCAGCCTCCCGAATAGCTGGGATTACAGGTGCCCACCACCACACCCAGCTAATTTTTTATTTTCAGTAGAGATGAGGTTTCACTATGTTGGCCAGCTTGGTCTGGAACTCCTGACCTCAAGCAATCCACTCGCCTTGGCCTCCCAAAGTGCTGGGATTACAGGCGTGAGCCACTCCGCCTAGCCCAGGACTCTTAAAAACATCTTATTGTGGGAAAGTTCAATCATAGCCAAAAGTAGAGAGAATTGTGTAATGAATTTCCATGCATCCGTCCCTCAGCTTCAACAACCATCAGCTTCTGGTTAATCTTGTCTCTTCAGTACGTTTACTCATTCCCAACTATTTTGAAGCAAATCCTGAACATCATTTCACTTCATCCATAAATCTTTCTGTCTGTATCTCTAACATACAAGGGTTTTTAAAAAAAAACCATATTACCATTATCATACCAAAAACTTACTTTCTTAATGTCATCAAATATCCAGTCAATGTTCTGATTTCTTCAATTGCATATATTTAAGAAATAGTTTATGTCAGTATCCAAATAATGCTTATTAATTGTAATTGGTTGATATGTTTCTTAAGTGTCTTTTAATCATTGAGATCTTCCAGTGAAGTATTTTTAATTACTTGATTTGGAAGTGTTTTTGCAAACTGACCTTGAGATTTCCTATTTTGAAGTCCAGTTAATTTATAGCATATTTGTATACTACAGAACCTCAAGTATATACAGAACCCCAGAATATTACAGAACCCCATGGCTACACATTCTTTAGAGGCAAAAGTACTTGTCTTTTGAAATAAAACAGATTAATTCACACATGTCAAAACAGAGTGAAATGTTTAAAATGATAGCTGATCTGTAGGGCTAGATATGAAAGAAAAAACTGACATATAATTAGAATAGTCATAACATTTAATTTTGTTTTTCTGATATTTGTCTTTAATTATAAGTGTAAAATCTTATGCCATCTATTGATCAGATTCTTGACTTTTTGCCAGTTGGGGATATAAAGTAATTCTTGGATGACAGGCTTGGCCAGCTTTGCCTTTTTGGTTAAGAACTTTAACCTGGTCTTTTAGTTTTCTGGGGGAGAATTTTTAAACATCTAAGACAAAAGCAAGGGCTTTATTCTGTCCTTTATTGTTTTAATTTCCATTAAAATAAGCATTCAGTGGTCTTAGATATCCTCTATACTTGAGCTTCAAGGATTCCCTTCAGGTATACGTGAGTAGGGGGAGGGGGGAGAGTGTGAGGTGTGTGTTTATGCCAGTGTTCTGGGTTGTTCTTGTGTACATTTCCCATACCTCAGTTCATCCAAGGGAGAAGAACATAGACTGAGAAGTTCCTGTGGCAGCAGCTGTACATGTGGTCTTCCTGTGTTCCTCACTCTCAGCTAGGCTAATCAACCTTGGTTTTACCCAAGGAACTTCCATCTATTCATACCAGTCTTGGAGCTCATTTCAGGGACCTCAATTCATATTGAAGGAGTTCCTACTCAGATGAGTCTGTGTTTTATTGAGGCTTTGTGTGTTCAGACCTTTTACCTGGCCTTCACTGACAACCCTAGTAGGGGTCTCATTGACTTCCCGGCCTCTGGGAGTGGTGCCAGAGAGTTCAGCAGTGAGCAGTCCATCTTGCTGTCCTCCATCAGATATAGTCCACCCAAATCCTGGAAGTACCAGGACTGTGCTATTTGAAACAGATCCATTCAAATAACACATAGGCCAGTATATATCAACCACTATTGAAGAGTTCCTTTGTAGAGACAAGCAGCTTTTAGGAAACAAAAAATCACCTCACTGACCCTAAAGGAATTTTGATTAGCTTCTGCAGAAAAGGAATTTGCTCTTTGTCTTAAATAAGAGAAAAAAAATCCCTATAGTTTTTATCCTTTTTTTTTCCCTAGAGAAATCTTGTGGTTGTGGAGAACCAGGTTCATTTCTTAAAAGATTCTGTTTCTTTTAAAGCACCCTCACTAAACATCTTTCCAACAGACCTAGTGCAAATTTAGCTATCCATGGTCTGCTAGAAAGATGCATGCATGAAATGTCATGAGTAATATTAAGAGGTGTTGGGGAAAAATTTGGTGATGAGGAGAAACTTGACTGATAATTTCAGGAGTGATTTCTGGGATGATGGGAGATGTATTGAATGAGGGAGTCTTCAGTAATACTGAGGAGGATTGAAGGGAATGTTGACACTGGATTTACCAAGCATTCTCTTCTTTATAGGTTGGTCCAAGACATAGAGTCAGCAGATGTCTCCTCTTTGTGTCCCAAAGAGCCTGGAGGTCTGTGTGGTCTGTATGGCTTAGGGAAATGTGGGTGGAGTGGATGGAAAGGGGCTAGAGAGTTGTTCATTTTGGAACCATTCTAAACCTTGGATCTTGGAGGATGTGGCAGCCAGGTACCTTGGGCCTTAGCCTCTTTGGGAATCCCCTTTTTAGCTTAGTCTCCATAGCCCCTTCTCATGATTGACATCACCCCACACTTTTCTTCATCACACCTCCAGCCTTTAGCCTTACCTCCTTTTGTGCCTTTGCTGTCTCTCACAGAACGTCCAGTAGTGTTTGAAGTTCCCGTGGCTACAGCTGCGCATGTGGTCTTGCCGTGTTCTCCAAGCTCAGCATGGGCATCCTGTGTGTGGCACCAGCCAAGTGGAGTGACTGTACTCACCCCCCGGCGGGATGGACTGGAGGTGGTGGTGACCCCAGGGGCCATGGGCGCTTATGCCTGTGAATGTCAGGAGGGTGGGGCAGCCCGTGTGGTAGCAGCTTACAGTTTGGTGTGGGGCAGCCAGCGAGATGCCCCGAGCCGGGCCCACACAGTGGGGGCGGGACTGGCTGGCTTCTTCCTGGGGGTTCTCGCAGCATCCCTAACTCTCCTTCTGATTGGTCGGCGTCAGCAGCGACGGCGACAGAGGGAACTTCTGGCTAGAGATAAGGTGGGCTTGGACCTGGGGGCTCCACCTTCTGGGACCACAAGCTACAGCCAAGACCCTCCCTCCCCCTCTCCTGAAGATGAGCGGTTGCCCCTGGCCCTGGCCAAGAGGAACAGTGGCTTTGGTGGATTCTCTCCACCCTTCCTGCTTGATCCTTGCCCAAGCCCAGCCCACATTCGGCTAACTGGGGCTCCTCTAGCCACATGTGATGAAACATCCATCTAGAGCTGGGCAAATGACCACTAGTGTATAAGTGATCACTGGAACGGAGGGACCACTGAGATGCTGGGGTCACTAGGCCTGGAAGACCATCCCAGCCTCTGAGTTCTCTTTGAGTATGAGTGATTACTTGGACTTTAGTGTCTGTTCTCTCTGAGTCTGGATGGACTTGGGGCCAGACCTTTGCCTGATTCCCGATTGCCATGAAAGATCAGAACTGCTTTCTGCAGCAGTCAGGGCTTCTGCCCAACATCTGAACCCCTGTGACCCTTCATCCCTGGCCCCCTATCTTGGGCCCATTAGTTTTGGGGATGGGGCACAAGGCATAGCTATGACTTTGCTTTCTGGTTGGAGCCTGACCAGAAGGAAGAGCCCTGGAGGTGGTTGGGGGCGAATGTGCACTGAGTCCTTGGGGTGGTTCTGCTTATTCTTCAAGTTTATCTGAATTTCTGTGGGGAGTGCATGATCCCCATGTTGTGACATGGAGTCTCTGCCCTGAGATCTTCCCCATCTCAGTTTTCCTTCCATGAATGAGTGTGTGTAAATACATGGTGTTCATAGGAGACCTGGCCACATGTGCATGAATGACTGGGCTGATGCTTAGGAATATTTATGAGGGATGGGGAGGGAGAAGATTGGAACAGGAATATTACCTGCAGAACTTTAGACCCTGTAGCCATAGAGGGAATGGCTTTCCTTTCTAAAAGGAACTGAAACACTGCCCCTCTCCCCATTGCCCCACAACCTTACTCTAAATTTGAGTAGAGAAAAGCTCGTAAAGTGACTTTCCGGCTGGGAAAGGCAGCAGTACACATGACTCCATCTTTTTCTTTGTTTTTGCCCTTGGCTGCCACCACTGCCATGTCACAGCTGCTTTCTCTGGCTAGAGTGTAGGCTGTACCCCATTTCCTTGGCTCCCATTGAAAATTAACAGCATTCTGATGATTAGGGAACAACAGAAGGGGAACAGTCATAGGATATACAAGCAGTATAAAGATAGGTTCACAATCAGTGACTTTACTCAGGGTGACACCCTTGCCCTAAAGCAAGAGTCCCCCCTACCTGGGGTCCATGGACTCCCTGAAATTGTATGCAAAATATTGTTTGTACATGTGTGTCTGTATGTCTCTGTGGGGGAGGTTTTATGGCTTTTGTCAGATTTTCAAGGCCTTAACAAAGTTAAGGGACCGCTGCCCTGAGGTCACTGCACTGAGACCAAGCTAGGATGGCGTCACTCTGTGGCAGCTCTGCCTGGCCTTGCCCTGCCTGGAACAGGGTGATTGCTGGAATGGAGTTACCACTGAGATGCCAGAGGTTCCTGGGTCTGGAAGACTTGTTGCCTTTCAGCTGTCTTTGAGTCTGACTGACTGTGGCCAGTCCCTGAACTGGTAGCTGCTGGAGGCCTTCTTGTTTCTCCAGTCCCTGGAAGCTGAGCTCTGTGTGTATTTGATGACATTGTCAACTCTCACCAAACTTCAAGACCTCTTCCTGCTTGACCACTCGCACATGCTCTAGGCTTCTCCTGCTCAGTACTGGTCTTGGCCTGTGAATGTGCCTCGTTCATCCCTGGTGCTTGAGCCCCTCAAGCTCCAGTCAATGATCCAGTCCTGCCCCTTTGAAGTTTTCTCCTCTGCTTTCCTTGGTAGCAGCCTGCAAACTACTCAAAAGAGTCCCCTTGGGTTTGGAATGATCAGTGGCTTTGCCACTAATAAATGTGTGATCTTCGGCAAGTAACCTAACCTAGGGACATCAGTTTACTCATTTGTGAAGTGGGGATAACAAAAACCTACCTCAGGGTTGCTACAAGGATTACATGAGAAAATATGTCAACAATAAAGACCTGTCTGTACCAATATATGTTGTTATTGCAGAAATGGGCTTATTCATAATCATGTAGCTTAACTATATGATAACCATGACACACGCAATCACATTAAGCCTCACTCAGTAAAAGGACAGTCATTACTTCACAGATGTCCTGTTCTGGGTCACCTCTGGACAGCTCATAGCTGCTGGTTTCTAGGTTTTGGGAGGCAGATCTATGATTTTTATAATCCTCAGCTCTGTCTGACCTTAGTGGCCTGAGATCCCTTTGTATAGAATGGAGGAAGGCTGTGTGTTCTTTGGTTTACCCTCAGCCTATCTTTCAACCCCACTCACTTGAGGTTATGGCCTAGTTCCTCTTTGGGGACGAAGGAAGGTGGGGAGATGTCAAAGGGGACTGGGCTTCCTGTGGGGAGTGGGAGGGAAGAGTTTTTCAAGGAGGAGAGAGACCAGGGCTCTTATACTCTGAGCCACTATCTCCCTGCCCTAATCACCTAGGGCCAGGCACCAGACAACTAGGGATTGGCCTCTTTACTCCAAAACCTGCTGAAATTACTCAAACTAGCCAATCCTAAGTCTGCCTACCCTGCCTCACTCATTCCTTACAATGCAAACTACAATAAGCGCTCTTGCCCATGATTCCCTGCTCCCTCTGCATCCTGACTGACCCTGGTGCTTCTCCATGTGGTCCCTGCATAGTGTGCTTTGCCTCCTGTTTCTAGGGACCTGTGAGTATAAACTTCCTCGATGATAGTCATTTCTGTGTCTGTGTGTCTTATTATACCTTATTAAAGCAAACCTGGGTACATTTTTAAAGCAGCAGAGATTCTCTGAAGATTAATGATTGAGAAGGCTGATTGGACCTGTCTAATCAGGGAGGCTGAGGCCTCAGGCCTTCCTTAGGCACGTTGCATATCTGTCAAGTAAGGGCCACTAATCCCCTCTCATGGGTTCATCTGAACTCTCTGCCAGCCCAAAACACAAGTACTTGCCACCCATCCTTAGCACTCTCAAGACACACTTAAATGTGTTTGATACGTAAGCTCCAATTCCTTCCTCCATAAGAAGTGAGAAGGCAGAAGTGGCCTTCCCCGAGGTGAGGACGGGGATGGGTGTTTTTTCTTTGAGTGATGTAGACCTATGCCCTGCTTCCATGCCACTTCCTCAGATGTGACAGACCTCTGCTGGGATGGAATATGTGTTTGCTGGAGACAGCTGTGACATAGAGGATTGTGAGAAAGGGTCCCCATGCTTGGTGTGGAAGGAGGGAGCTGCTCACCTTCTGTATGGGCTTGGATGAGGAGCTTCTCAGCAACAGTCATAAAAACTAGAGGATCTTCTGCCCTTTGCTGGGAGCCACATGAGGCCCCTGGATTCATGTGGAATTCTAGGGAGAGGGACGATCACCCTCAAGATGGCTGAGATCAAATATCTTGTCAGATGACTGGACGCTTAGAATTGGGTTAATCTGATTAAATAAATAAAATAGGTTTTTGTACCTGTAAGTTTGTGGAGAAAAATTCCTGCCCACTATGCTAATATCAGCATTTCTAAAATGGTCTGTCTGGAGCATATGTGTGATGAACCTACCTACAGATTGAGCAGAATAGCTGTAGATAGGGTGGAGTTGAGTGAGCACCAAGTGCCCGAAATGAAGAAAGAGGACCTCCTTCCAACCTTTTGTAGGAACCATCCTCCTAATGCAATTTCTCCCCACAGATATCCACCAAATTAACTTTTTTTTTTAAACCAGACTCAAAGTCTATGATTTCATCATAACAATATAGGTCATCATAGATTGAGATTACCTTGTAATTCCTAGGTAAATGTCCTTGGAAAAAAGGAATATGAACCTACGGGATTGCAGTCAACAAAATAAGGTGTCCATATGCTACCTCTACAAAGGTTTGTAATACAGTTGTCATTGGGATCTTTGCTAGATAAGTTCTTATTCTACTTTGGGTATTTATTGTGTTACTAGCCAGGGCAGGCTTTGCTATGATGCAATAACAACCCCACACTCTTAGTGGCTTAAAACATTTGTTACTCATGCCGTATGTCTATCCTTGGCAGTCACTCAGGAACCAAGGCTCAGGGAGGTTCCATCTTGACACAAGCTTCCATGATTGTAGAAAAAGGAAAAGGGAACTTGGCTAGCCATAGGTAGGCACCTGAAGTTTTTGTCTAGAAGTAACATGCATGATCACATTTCAGTGAACAAAGCAAGCCATGTGACTATGCAAGTTCAAGCAGATGGAAAAGAGCTATAATAGCCTTGTGCTAAGACCACAGTACTAAGCATTTGTGCCTGAAGTACGGCTACAGGGCCGGCGCGGTGGTTCACATTTGTAATCCCAGCACTTTGGGAGGCCAAGGCAGGCAGCTCACTTGAGCCCAGGAGTTCCAGAGCAGCCAGGGCAAAATGACGGAATCCTGTCTCTGAAAAAAATACAAAAGTTAGCTCGGGATGGTGGTGCATGCCTCTACTCCTAGCTACTTTAGGAGGCTGAGGCGAGAGGATGGATTAAGCCTGTGAGCCTGGGAGGTGGAGGCTGAAGTGAGCCATGATCGTGCCACTGCACTCCAGCATGGGTGACAGAGCGAGACCTTGTCTCAAACAAAAACAAAAACAAAAATTACGGCCTCAGACCCTTTTACTAGGACCAAGAGCTGCTGATGTCCTCTTTGTTTCTTTATTGAAGAGAAACATATACTAAATCTTTGTACTCATAATCTCACTCACCTCTCCTACTGAGCACCTGCTGCTTTCTCTCCTTTCTTCCGTCTCCCTGGAGTAAAGTGAATTTCCTCTTAGAGAAATGGTGACTGGATATTTTAAAAAATACCTGGGTAAGAAGGGCTGTTAAGTTAGAGAGGGTTCATGGTGACGTAAAGAGAGAAACTTAGTGGCTCACTTAGTAGAAAAGATAAGGAGTAGGTATTCCCTAGGATTGCAAGAAGGGCCTTAGGAACTGAGGCCTTAGCCACTGGAATCAGGGTTAATGCCACCAGGATTATTTTTCTCCCATTAGTCTGTCATCTCTTCATGTTCTGCTTGCTGGAAATGGACATATTCCTAGAGCTATAGATGGTTGCCATTTTTCCTTCACATTCTCTCAGCTCTGTACCGTAGAGGCAAGGCTACTTCTTTAGCTCCAATCCAGGAATCCCAGGGAAGGGCTCTGATTGGCCCAGCTTAGATCACATGCCCACACTGAAGCAATGACTGTGTCCAAGGAAATGGGATACTATGATTGGTCAGGCCTGAGTCAGGTGTGTGCTCAGGGAGGACAGGATTAAATTGTCAGAATGAGGGACATGGTTAAGTTGGCTGGGCAAATAAAAACCATAATTACTTTAATTTACTATAGCTGTCTTAGAGTTTGATATAGACAGTGACCTTTGAAGACTAAGATTGGAGAAAATTTTTACAATCTATCCGTCTGACAAAGAGCTAATATCCAGAATCTACAAAGAACTTAAACAAATTTACAAGAAAAAAACAACCCCATCAAAAAGTGGGCAGAGGATATGAACAGACACTTCTCAAAAGAAGACATTTATGCAGCCAACAGACATGAAAAAATGCTCATCATTACTGGTCATCAGAGAAATGCAAATCAAAACCACAATTAGATACCATCTCACGCCAGTTAGAATGGTGATCATTAAAAAGTCAGGAAACAACAGATGCTGGAGAGGATGTGGAGAAATAGGAACGCTTTTACACTCTTAGTGGGAGTGTAAATTAGTTCAACCATGTGGAAGACAGTGTGGGGATTCCTCAAGGATCTAGAAACAGAAATACCATTTGACCCAGCTATCCCATTACTGGGTATATACCCAAAGAATTATAAATCATGCTACTATAAAGACACATGCACACATATGTTTATTACGGCACTATTCACAATAGCAAAGACTTGGAACCAACCCAAATGTCCATCAGTGATAGACTGGATTAAGAAAATGTGGCACATATGCACCATGGAATGCTATGCGGCCATAAAACGGATGAGTTCATATCCTTTGCAGGGACATGGATGATGCTGGAAACCATCATTCTGAGCAAACTATCACAAGGACAGAAAACCAAACACCGCATGTTCTCACTTATAAGTAGGAGTTGAACCTCATTATGAGAACACATGGACACAGGGCGGAGAACATCACATACTGGGGCCTGTGGGGGGGTGGGAGGCTAGGAGAGGAATAGCATTAGGAGAAATACCTAATGTAAATGATGAGTTGATGGGTGCAGCAAACCAGCATGGCACATGTATACCTATACTGCATAGGCGTACATGTGCACATGTATCCTAGAACTTAAAGTATAATTAAAAAAAAAAGAAAAGAAAACTAAATAAAACAGTGTTGTTCCTTCCAAATTAAAACCTTCCCATCACTTCCCATTACAATTAGAATAAAATCCAAATCCTCCGTTGTGATTTATAGGGCCTTACATGTTAGGACCTCTGTTCATCTATCTAAACTATTTTTACTTTCCCCTCACTCAGGGGCAACAGCCACACCAACCTTCATTCAGCTTTCTAGATACACCAAGCTTGTTCCCAACTAGGGGGAACTAGTTGTTTCCCCTGATCTTTGCAAGTCCTTCTGGTCAGTCAGGCTTTATCTGAAATGTTGCCTCCATAAAGAGGCCCACTCTGATTACTTTGTATAAAATAGCTCCCAGTTACTTCCTATCACATCCTCCTATTTTAATTCTCAGCATAGCATATCATTAATTGGTATTTTCTTGTTTGCTTGTTTATTTAAATTATTTTCCTTCTTGTTAGATTGCAAACTCCATGAAAGCCTGGATTATGGCTGTTTTGTTCACTGTTGTATCCCCAGTGCTTAGAACAGTGAACAGTGCCTGACACGTAGTAGATGCTCAGTATTTATTGAGTGAATGAATATGGCCATTGCCGAGCTGACACACCAGGTAATGGAAAGAACGCAGGTCCTGCTGAGAGGCCAACACCATCCACTGGTCAGTATTCCTATAGGAGACCACTTAGCTCCCAG